AATCATCCAAAGGGCTACCATACATTGGCTATTGACTATTCTTTGCCTGTCTGGTAAATTAAGCAAGACAAAATAATTGAAAACTATCTAACAAATGAGGATATAAATTAACAACAGTGAAAAAACTCCAGACTTAGTTATTAATTGATGGAATTGGGTAATTAAAAGAAGATAAGTTTCCTTTAATGGAAGTATTTTTGAAAAACACATGTTTGAGTTTAGGTTATTTTTTGAATGACAGACTTTGCAAATATCTGTGTATGAATTGCAGAAGAACTCACAGCCAGGAAAGGGTAAGAACTGAAGTACATTAGTTTATCATTTCAGTTTGGTAGCCACCAGCCTCATGTAGCTGTTGAGCATTTAGAATAAGGCCAGCCTGAATTGAGATATGCTGTAAGAGGAGAGTACAAAAAGATAACATGTTTCACTAATAATTGTAAATATATGTTGAAATAATAACACATTTTATCTCTTGTATTAGATAAAATGTTGTTAAAATGAATTTAATTTGTTTCCTTTTACTCTTGTTTTTAAATATTTTTTTTTAGTTGTAGATGGACACAATACTTTTATTTTGTTTATTTTTATGTGGTGCTGAGATAGTATCCAGTACTTCACACATGCTCAGCAAGCGCTCTACCACTGAGCCACAACCTCTGCCCTCTTTTTACTCTTTTAATGTGGCTACTAAACAAATTTAAATTATATGTGTGACTTGCATCGTTTTTCTACTAGATAGTGCTGGTCTAAATCCTCATTGACTGGTTCTGGGCAAACTAACCCTTACAGTTAGGCCTTTTAACTTCAGATACTGAGGTTGAGACTGCTACTCCAAGGCCAACAATGTCAAGAATTTTTTCTTTCTTTAATTATTTATATATCCCAGTTTGTTTTTATCCATGGTCAAATAAACTTACTGCAAGACTATGGCACTCTGTAGCTATTATCTAATTTTCAACAGATAATATGAAGAGTTCTGCTATTGTAAGAACAAATGGTAGTAAAATGAATAATAAAAATACTTTCTGGGAAAAAATATTTTTCTCTTGAAAATTAGTTTTAAGACTGACCACCTGAAGCAGCTTCCCTGAACTATCCCTTATTTGAGAGACAGCCTGATAGGCAGACCGTGGACACATAGTTGCTTTACTTCTTAGGAAATTAGTTGGAGTTCTAATACTGTATATCGGGTTGATTTAATATAGACACATAATTAGATGCAAGGGCATGAAATATAGAAATAGATGATTCAAAAATCATTTTAAGTATGATTCAAAAATCATACTAATGAGGCTAAGGCAGAAGGATCCTCAGCAATTTAGTGAGACCCTGTCCCAAAACTTTAAAAATAGGGCTGGGGCTGGGCTTAGCAGTAGTGCACTTGCCTGGCATGTGTGAGGCACTGGGCTTGATTCTCAGCACCACATAAAGATAATAGTCTATCAACAACTAAAAAAAAGTTTTTTAAATTAAAAAATAAATTTTTAAGGACTAGGGACATTTCTCAGTGGTAGAGTGCCCCTGGATTCAATCCCAAGAACTGAAAAAATTATTTTAAAATATCCCTGAGAATCTATAAAATAAGGAAGTACAAGAAAATAGAGAGAGTTGCCACTTATTAGTCTGTAACAAACCAGCACTTCAAAACAGAGATGGCAACTGGGTTACATCACTCACACATATATTTTGTGCTAAATTATTATCATCTACTTTCAAATTTCTTCTTACTCTGCCCCATGAATTGATTTGTAGACAAATAGTAGTTTTAGTTTACTGTATCAGCATGGAGTTCATCTCTCTCTCTCTCTCTCCCTCTCTCTCTCTATCTATCTATCTATATATATATATATGCACATATATACAATATCTTTAATATATTTTAATTGTAGAAGGACACAGTACCTTTATCATTTTTATGCAGTGCTGAGGATTGAACCCAGACCTTCACAGGAGCTAGGCAAACACTCTGCCAACTGAGCTACAACCCCAGCCCTATTTTATCTTTAATTTATATTCACATTTAAAAGCGATCTTTTTGAGTCTAGTATCCTAGGAATCTTATAGTTAAGATGCACATATAATGTAGTTTTGTTTTTTAAATTGTGCTTTTCTCTTTGAGCTATTTAATTGATACTTGAATTATGGAAAACAGTACCACAGTTAACCTAAATATAAGCCATCTTTTGCGTCATTGTCCCTATCTTTTCAAATATATTTTTATGTTGTTGGGTTTTGTGCTATCCAGTCAGTGTTCTGATTTTAGTCCCCAAAATGTCATATCCAGTGACATTTAAATAACTTTAGTCTTTGAAGGCAGAGCCCCCAGCAATTCTGCCTTTGTTTGGAGAATGGGTGGGTGATAAGACCAGACCAAGAGCTTGTTCAGCTGTTTACCAAGCAGAAATGTGAGGCTCAAGTGGTGGTGGGGGTTCTTTAGAACATCCATTTCTACTTGCAAGCTCTCAGTGTAACAAAAGCTTCACAGCAGATGGTGAGTGTGAGAATTGAAGCAACTGTAGTTACATGCAACCAGCGAAATAGAAAATAAACCCAAAAGAGGAAAAGAGATTGGTTTTCATTGTGGCAAACACTAAATACGTTTACTTCATGACTCCAGTGTCAGAGCATTGAGTGCTTTTGATCAGAACAGAGACAGAAATGAATGGAAAGAGAATAACTAATGTGAAAACAGAAGGTATGAGAAGGTGACTTCTAATAAAATGAGAAGCTAGAGATAAACATAAAAATGGGTAATAAAACTCCTAAGAAGCTATTCATAGAATCAGGAGGCAGAACATTCTTGAAGAGAGAGAAAAAAGTGTTCAGGCATCTGATTGATGTTGTCTGGCTCAACCAGGCCCTCCAGCACACTTTTAAAAGCCTTCCTCATGGTTATGACTTCCCTGCACAAACTCCACAGCTGCTTCATACCCTCCTCTCCTGCAGAGCCTTCCCAGTGGATTTTGGACACATTTTTCCTGTGTCTCTGATCTCTTCTTTTGCAGTGAACATGGAGCCCCCAGCTCACATTCACCCCGCTTAATTCCCTGCCCCTGTGTGTTATGCTCCATGGGCCTCTCACATCTGGCTTCTCATTTGAATCTTATCAGTGCTCTTTGAAACTGATTTAGTAGACTCTGCAGGTACCTATCACCATCTCCATTTCATTGGCTATAAGGAAGACATTTGCAGAAGTTAATAGCCTGCAGGTGGAGGGACAAAGGCAGTACTAGCACCAAGTTTTCTGACTTTCAATCCCATAGACTTTGTATCCTTGCCACTTACTGCCACACAGAGTACTTCCTTTACAACTACAGCAAAAGCAGACAAGCAAAATATCTTTTGACTTTGCTATTCCTTTTTTACTGCCAGAATCTTCAAATAGGATCATGTCCAAACCCATGGCACAGCATAGTGGAAGGACTACTGACTTTGGAGTCAAGCAGGTCAGGGTTCAAAGCCTATCCCTTTGATAGCCATGTGACCTCGAATATGTTTCCAAACCTCAGTTTCCTTACTGTAAGGTAACTACCTCACAGGGTTGTTGCAATGTTAAATGACAGAGACTATACTGATTAAGTAGCCTAGTGAGTAGCATGATAAATTTTAATTTATTATTAGATGATTGTCTCCTGCATACTGACTTTGACCCTGAACTTTTCATAGAACTTGATACAGCCCAAAATGCTCATGACCTTCTCTGGTTGAATCTTAAGGCCTTTTCACAGCTTTCAGCCTACTCTACCCACATATGTCTTTACTGCCTTTACTCCCTTGAATTTCTTAATATCATATTATTGATTCCTCCTTTTCCAGTGGTTTATATTTTATCTACTTTACTACCTTCTTTTTCCTCATACTACCCTTATGTATGTAAGTCTTCTGAGGTTCCATTTATAGCAATTGCTCTCGTTGACAGACAAAGTTGAATTAATAAATCAGAACGGAAATCATATTATCATATTTTGCTTTGTGCAACACATCCTTAGCGTTCCTTGTTTCTTCCTTACTTGTCTCCTTTCTACTTTTAAATATAAAAACATCACACTGAACTTGATTCATCAGCAAACAGGCAAAGCCCACTCCTGTCAGCACTGGAAGGCTTTAATTATCTTATTCCATGTAGACATGGCAAGTGATGCTTCTGCCCAAACTGTTTCAGTGAGATGATGATGATGTTAACAATTTTGCTTTCCAAATAGTATTACAGAGTTTAAGCAGCAGTGTCACATACATTATCTGAATTTGTTCCTCAGAATTATACTGTAAGGCAGGTAGATCCTTAATTATCCAACACATTTTATAGATGTAAAAAAATCCTAGAGAAACAATTCTGGGCTGGGGGTGTAGCTCAGCTACAAACCCCTAGCATGCACAAAGTCCTGTGTTCAATCCTCAGCATTGCAAGAAAGAGAGGGAGAGAGAGAAAAAGGAAATTAGTTCGATTGATTCTGACTTTGACTCTAGGACTAGTGCCTTCTTTGTTTAAACCATACTATTTTTTGCTCCCTATTCCAGGTAACTTTGCTGATATATTTGTAAATCTTAGATTTTGGGCTAAACAATAGACAGTACATTCTTATCTGAGGGGAAACTAAAAAAGAGATAAAATAGTAATTTAAGGTACCTATTGGTAGATTGAGGAAGAGTTATAAATTTGGAAACTGAAACTTGATTACCAGAGTTTGGGGAAGTATTTATTTTTGTGTTTATTTTACTTTGGAGCAAAGTATTTATTTGTACTAAGAAGTGTAAATGTGTTCTTAATAAGAGCTGACTCGTGTAATGTATATAGATTTAAGCTGATAAAAATTATGAAATGTTATATTGTCGAATATTTTAAAGGATTAAAAGTTAAGCTTGATTTAAGTGGGGAATTTCATCTCTTTAGTTAGAGAAGTCTTCATGTTACCATAGACCACATCATTCACTCATCATTCACTCTAATTGTCTTGTGTTCCTACCCTAATGAAGTATGTTGTATGTTTGTTTTGCAGATCTAAAGCGGGAAGCCAGTATCTGTCATATGCTGAAACATCCACACATTGTAGAGTTATTGGAGACATATAGCTCAGATGGAATGCTTTACATGGTTTTTGAATTGTGAGTGTCAATTTTATTTCTTAAGGAGTAAAATTTTAAGCAACATTGGTTTTAGAAAATACTAACAATTTTCTCTTCAACTTTAGCAATAGTTGTGACCTCATCTGTTTAGAAAGACCCGAAAGCACAGGGAAAAAAGGATTATTTCATCTTAAGGTTCATGACAAAGGAAGCAAAAGCTGGGTGTATTTGGTTATCCTCACACTTTTAAGCACACTTCAGAGAAGAGGCTCCAAAAGGAAATAGAATTCAGAGGTAAATAAGAGGCCCCAAAATGTGCAATTCTGACCAAGAGGTCAGTCTGAGGTGAAGAGTAGGATGAAGTGGAGGCTTCCATGTAGCAAATCTCCCTGGCAACTTAAAATGAGCAATAACAGACAACTTCTTCTTTTGATATAATCACTACATTGTCAAATGAGGGAAATTCTGTGGCTAATAGTGTATCTTGATTTCAGTAAGGTCCTTGAAATTTTTATGAGTCAGAGAAATGTGAGCTAAGGATAGTACAACTGAGTATCCCATAGCTAGTTGGATGATTGTCCAAAGAGATTTATGGGACAGCATACTACAGGGTTTTGTCTTTACCCTATTCTGTTCAGAATTAATCAGTAACTTTGGTCAGGAAAATTAAAAAGGAAGATATACATGCTAAACATTCAAAAGATACCAAGGTTGGAGGGTGTGTTCATTAGCTATGACTTCATAGCAAATCATAGCCAAAAACTTAGTGACTTAAAACAGCACATGCATTATCTCAGTCTCTGTATGTCAAGAATATGAGCACCATTCAGGTGGGTCCTTTAGCTCTAGGTCTCTCACAAGGTGGTAACCACGGTGTTAGCCAGAGCCAAAGCCATTTTCAGTCTTCACTGGAGAGAGGGAGTTAGTTCTTCTTCCAAGCTCATTCACATGGTTGTTGTCAGTCTTCAGTTCCTCTTGGATTCTTGAACTGAGGGTCTCAGTTCCTTAAGAGCTGCTGGCTTCAGGTATTCCTTGGTTCCTTGTCACATGGGCCTTTAAATCAATATGGCCAGTGGCTGCATCAGAGCAAGCAAGCAAGCAAGAAGAAATGGGAAGTAGAAGTCACAGACTTATAATGTAGTCTCCAAAATTATATACCATCACTTCTGCCTTATTCTCCTAGTTAGAAACAAGTCAGTAGGTCCAGCCCACATACCACCACCTGAATACCAGGAGATAGGAATCTCTAGGAAGCATTTCACAAACTGCCCCCCCACAGAGAGCTAGCTGACACATTAGTGATCTATACCAAAACTCAAAAATAGTTTACAAGCTTGTAGTCAAGGAGCTGAAACAAAGAAAGTAAAATTTAAGACCAGTTAATATAAACTCCTTCATTCAAATATATAAGTGCAAGACGGGTGTGAATTTAGTTGTGACTACTTATGTGAAAAAGATGTTAATGTTTTACTTAGTTGTTTGCAATAGCTAAAAAGCCCTGAATGGAATGTTAGGTTACATTAATGAGAAGTAGATAATATTCTGAACAGAGCCACACTCCCACCATATTATACACTGCTTGTTCTCCCTGGAGTGTCTGTAGTAAGCAGGACACAGGAATATTTACAGAAGGGTATAACCAGAATGAAAAGGAGCCTGGAGATTCTCTCATAGAGTCATGGCCTTCAGTCTCTTTGCCAGCAAACCTACTAACAGAATTTTGAAAAACCTAGATGCCCTTCTCACATGTTTTTAAGTTGGTATATAAAAATTTTTATTGCGAGAATATAATTTTTAGTGTCTTGGATTTTCCTTTAAATATATTTCCTTCACAACTGCAGAGCTGCACATTTATCTCATTTGCTTTATGGGAAGTGCCTGCTATGTGACCTACATGGCTAAAGCTAGTCCTCGCTGTCAAATCACTCAGCCAAATCAGATTCACTTTTCTGTCAGAAAAAAAAAATCCGACTTCATTTTTCAAATAAAATTAAAGTGTTAATAGACATCCCAATGACACTCCTCTTACTATTGATTTCGAATTCTAAAATAGATCAGGCTTTGCTATGAATATGTTATCTGGATGAAATATGGTGACATCTCCTTTTCTTTCTCAAATTCTCTTTGCTCTCAGTTGTGTCTCCCTCCCACAGGAGCTGTGTATTCCCCAACTGTCTCTTTGAAGTTAGACAGGCTTTTCAGGATAGGGAAGCAGTTGGTCTTTGGAGATAACTGATTGCAGATGTGGAGATGTGAAAGGAAAACTAGATTCATTTTCAAGTAGACTATGTTTTAGCAAATGAAGATATAGAAATCAATTGCCTTAAAATATACTAGTTCATGTGTTCCCAGGAAGGACTTTGAGTACTCCCAGATATACCTGAATCCCAGGTTGAAGACCCCCTGGCATGGAAGAGCTCTTGAAAACACTAGAGGCTTTAGTTCCCCAAGAATTTATTGGTTTTTTTATTCTACTAAGAGTCCCCAGCGCAGAAAGCCATAGGTATAACATACTTAATATTTTCAGTTATTTGAAAGATCATCATGTATACGATTATATGCTTAATCACTATAACATCACAAGCCATAAGTAGAATCAACAAGTGGCAGATTTCACCTCTAAGAAGACCGGTAATGGTGACACTTACTCCTTCCAAGGGGACAAAGATAGGTTTTACTTTTGGTTTAGAGAGGGACTCTGCTGTGCCTTCCAATTTTAAGATACTGTAATTTTTTCAAAATGACTTTTCTGGTTTAATTTTATTCTCCATTGAATAAATCTGTTTCTGTCCATATTTTTTTCTCTGAGAAAAGCAAAAGCAGATTTATTCATATACTTTAATGAGCACAGAAAGCAACATTTAAAAATTCACCTGATTTCTACCATGTTTACTGTTTGTATCAAAGGGGTCTAAATGACAGAGTAGTAGAGAGAAGATGATCTTTGGTGTCATAAAATGGGTTTTAGTTTCTCAGTGTTAAGCAGTCTCTATGAGATATTTATAGTCAATTTTGTGTGATGCAGGTGTGACTAAAATAATTCAATGGCTATACATTGAGATAAAAACTCATTAAAGTTAGATATTTACCAGTAAATTATCCAAATTAATCCTAATTTAATCCAGATTACTAGAATATTGTTTGGTATTTCATTTTTTAATTCATTTTTACTTTATTTTGTAGAGTGTCAGATAAAGAGATTATAGTATAATCAATGCCAGCATCTGAGCCATTGAGTTCAAAATATTTTGCCATTCCTGTTCAAGCTATCTTTCACCCCCAAAGATTTCTAGAGCAATGTCACTTCTCCTATAAATACTCCTGTTTGTGCTTCTAACAGATAAGGACTTTAAAAAATGATCGTAATAATATTATCATATCTTAACAAATCAATACTATTTCCTTAATGCCATGTCATATTCAGTTGCTGCTCAATTTTCCCTGATTGAACATGAATCTTAAATGATAAATTTCTCAATTTAGAATTGTTTTATTAGCTCTAGGGATCTAGAAGGAGATTGTAAATTCACAGTTAAAATAACTTATATAGAAATATAAAACTGTTCTTTTTGTACCTTTGTTTTATAAATTCACCTCAACATTTGCCCTCACCCAATTTTTTGCATTCTCCTCAACTCCTAGTTTCAAACCAACAGACGAAAAACATTGATTACTGTGATTTAAAGTAATGTGGATCAAAGAGCAAAACCAAAAAACTTGTGTGCGCCTCCACCTACTGGCTAGGTGAGAGATTGCTTCTATAGCTGCATTCTAAGCTAAGCTACTCTAGAATTGGTTCCATGTTCCTGATAATAGATGTCATTTTCCCCAGTATTCAAGGGCTCATTGCTAAGGTTATGAGTGACCTAGACTTGTTTCCAAGTTTTCTACCATGACACTATTACAGAGTAGACAAGGAAAAGTAAAACAAATAAAATTAGACTAGTTAACTTTGCAGTTTGTTGGCTGCTTGTAAACCACTCTTATTGTTTATGTGGACAAAAGGCTAGACAAAACAACATATTTTAATTACCACCAAGTTTCTTAATATGGTATCCATGTCTGTCTTTACTATAGACTATGTATAAGCAACCCTCCTTTTCTCTTCCTAAATGAAAGTCATGAAGTTGTAAGACCCAATCATGTTGTTTATTTGTTTAAAAAAAATCCTTAGAATGAGTTGATATTCACTTAGTTACAGTTGTTAAGTTTAAAGCAAACTTAAACACAGGGACTAGAGCTGGAATGTTCAAGCTGGAAAAGATGATTTCAAAACTTAGATTATAAAATCCTGTGGAGAAATTGTTAGACAACATGTACCCAGGCTCTGTCTGTAGACTTTCAGTTTCAGCAGATTCATGTCCTGAAAGCACAGATCTAGAGGACTGACCTTCAAAGTAGGGCCAATACTACTTAGAGATTTCTTTGTCATTTCCCCCAATACATACAGTAGTTAGACATCTGCATGAGTTTGCATTACATCCATTTCTTTGGGATTACATTTAAATTGGAACCTGTCTGTAGCAATTTGCTGAAATGTATTTTAAAATACAGGTTCCATTTTGAAGACAGGACTGAGTTATATTACTTCCCCAAAATTAAATGTTTATTTCTAAGTAACACATTCAGGCTTGTCTTTAGTAGTGTCTGGTACTTGAGTTAAGCTGTAAATCCTAAATTGGCTGGCTAAGGAATTTTAATTACCTTATTATAGAATGATTACATATACCACAGGGAGACTTTTACAGTAATTAAATATGGATTTAAAATATATCTGACATGAAAATAATAGTTTGTATCTCTTAAAATAATATTAGTAGTTTGTGTTTTTGAAGCCAATAAAGGATATAATAGACTGAAACTGCTTCTATTTATTTTTTACTTTATTTTTTGTCAGATATTTATGCTTGTAGAAGGGAGTATTTGTGAAATTCATTTATATTGATAGAGTGGAAATGACTATTACTTACCATCAAATTTGCCACTTAAGGGAAAATATGTCTGTCTCAAATCAAACAATAAAAATCTGGACTATTGCA